GGCCTCTTCGAGCGCGAAGCCCGAAGTCACGGTCTCCATGCGCCGCGTGCCGACGCCGCTGGCGATGTCGGTGGTTTCGCTCTTCTTCGTCGTCTGATCTTGAGCCGAGACAACCTCGTCGCGATTGGCGCTGGGTGGGCCCTGGGCCGCCTGGGCTTCGACACCGACACGACTGCCGGCGCCGCCGGAGGTGTGCGACTCTTCCTGAGTTTGCGTCTTCTTCGACAGGGCGACGGACTCCCTCTCAGGCGTCACCTCGACAACGCGTTGTTCGCTCTTGGGGTCGATCCGTGGGTTGACCTGCACCAGCACGCCGGGGATGAACGCCAGGTTCCGCATGATGGTTTGGCGGACCCGATCCGCTTCCATCGCGCGGAGGCGGTAGAGCGGGTGGTCGAAGTCATCGGGAGAGATCCCGCCGTCGCCTCCGGCGAGTGTGTCGTTGCCGAGATTGGTGATAGCGATATCCTCGATCGCTACGTCGCATGCTTTCGAGATGAACTCTTTCACGACCCGCGCACGTTGTGAGCTGAGTGACTCGCCGACCGCGGGGAGGATGCTCACCGCTGCGGTGGCGTGTCGGCTGGCGTGGAGACCGCTCCCTTGGCGTTCGTTAAAGATGACGTCCGCTTTCTCGACCCACGGGAAGTCTCCGAGGATTAGCGAAGCTTGAGCCTCACGCGCTGCGCGCATCCGCTGCAACTTGGTGTCGCGGAAATCGAAGAGGCTGCCGCCGTTGATGGCGTCATCCATGATCTTGTGGAACTCGGGTGGTAGTTCACCCGCGTCAGCGATGGCGGCGATAGCGGCGTTCTTGTCCCCCGGCGAGACGCGGATCTTTGTCCCTTGAGTTTCGTACTTGATGCCGGCTGCCGACATCGCGGCTTCCATCCGCGGTAGTTGGCGCCGGTCGATCGACTCGCCGCCGAACAGGTACTCGTCGGGGCCGAGCGTCGCTTGTTGGAACAAAAAGCCCATGCTGACAACGACAACCGCGACCAGCAGCCCCGCGGTGACGCGAGCGCCGGGCGTCATCGACGCGAACAGTTCGCGGACCTGAGCGGCGGTTTGGTTGAGGAAGTCCATAGAGAGCTATCAGCGGTCGGCGGTTGGCTATCAGCAGTAAGAAGTCGATTCCTCAAGAGCTGACAGCTGATCACTGACAGCTGAACGCCGTGTCATATCCGTACGTCTTGAATCTCACGATAGACATCCATCAGCTTGTTGCGGACTTGCATCGTGAGACGGAACGCCATGTCGGCTTTCTGGACGGCGGTCAGCACTTCGGCGGGGTTCACATCACCGCCGGTGAACAGGGCCTCGACCGCCTGGTCTGCTTGTGCCTGCATGCCGTTGACGTGTTCGATCGAGTCGATCAGCAAGTTCTTGAACGAGCCGGCATCCGATGCCGGCGCATTCTCCGCGGCGACAGCGAGACGTTCGCTGGGGAGTGGGACGCCGCCGATGAGGCGGCCTGCGGATGGGGTGGGGATGGTGTTCATAGGACCGAGGCGTCCGTGCCGTATCTACTCGCGTGGTGGCGACTATACGATGATCTGCAGCGTCTGGCGGCCGAGGTCTTTGGTGATCTCCATCACGCCGATATTCGCTTCGTAGGCTCGTGTCGCCTCGAGGGCGTCGACGAACTCAGTGGTCATGTCCACCGCGGGCATCGCGACCATGCCGGTCTCCGGATTCGCGTCCGGATGATCGGGCTGGTATCGCATGACGGGCGGTTCGGTCGAGGTCTCGACGCTCGCTACCGTAACGCCGATGCCGCCCGCGCGGGTTTGCTTGTTGGGATCGGTGGAGAAGGTGACGTACTTGGGACGGTACGCCTCAGGCTCGCCGCGCTCGTTGCGCGTAGTCGAGATGTTGGCGAGGTTCGAGGCGATGGCGTCGAGCCGCGCCCGTTGCGCCACAAGGCCGCTCGTACTGATGTCGTAGGACGTGAACATCGCGGAGGGCTAGTTGAAGGGAGGGTTGGGGAATCTTTGTCGGCTACCGGTTTTTCTAAGCAACGGTCTCGCTGATAGCCGATCGCATCTGACGGAACTGCTGACTCATCAAAGTGATCGCAAGGTTGTGCAGCGACTGATTCTTCGAAATCTCGGTGACTTGCGATTCGAGGCTGACGTCGCGTTGGTCGTGGTAAACGAAGGTCTCCATCGACTTCTGCAGGCCATTGAGCGAATCCGCGTCGAAGGGTCCGCGTTCTCCACCGAGCGCCATCAATCCTTCGTGCGGACCGTCGGACAAGTCACCCAACACAATGGCGTCGCCCGGGCTGTATGTTTTCTTGCTCGAATCAATCGCCGATCGCAGGCTCGACTGGAAGGCTTGCACCGACAAGTCACGGGCCTTGTAGCCGGGGGTGTTCAGGTTCGCAATATTGCCCGCCAGGACGCCGTGACGCGCTTGCGTGAACTGAACGGTCTGCTCCAGAACGGGCAGGGTCGAGTTCGCGAAGGGGTTCAGCATCGTCGGCCTCTCCTTGTGGGGACGGACACGGACGAGCGTTTAGCACAGAGCGTGCCACCGACGCTAGACGAAGTCTTCCACGGCGTTTGAAGCGGCTTCCGTCGCGGCGCAGCAGCAAGCGGTCGGCGGAACTTGCCGATAGCGGCGGCGTTTGGCGCCGGTAGAGGGATTGTCGTATAGGTGTCTTCCGAGCCGCGACCGTCAGGGAAGACGTCAGGAAAGACCGGTCACCTAGCTGATTTTCACGGTCGCTCCCTGACGTTCGCGGCTCGGCTACGTCACTTCGCTCATGCCGCGCGTGAGATGATGTCCTTCTCTCCCGGTGGGACGCCGTAGCTGCGCAGCTTGCCGCTCAGCGTGCGGACGCCGATGCCAAGCGCGTCAGCGGTCTTCTGACGGTGCCCGTCGAATCGGGCAAGCGTCGCGAGGATCATTTGTCGTTCGACTTCGGCGAGACTCGCTCCGATCGGGAGCGTCGTGGGGCCTTCTTCGACGGCCTCGACTGCATTCACACTGTCGCGCCGTAGCCACGGACGTACGAGATCGGCCGATACCGTCTGTCCGTCTGCTAGCACGCAGGCTCGCGTCACGACGTTGTGCAACTCACGCACATTACCGGGCCACCTGTGCGAGAGAAACAAGTCGCGTGCGGCGGCGTCGAGCGTTAGGCGCTCGCGGCCGAGCCGCTGGCTGGCTTGATCGAGAAAATACTCGGAGAGCTCCAGCACGTCCTCGCCGCGCTCGCGTAACGCGGGGGCCTGGATCGGAACGACGGCTAAACGGTAGTAGAGGTCTTCGCGGAACCTGCCGGCGCTGATCTCGTCGGTCAAGTCGCGGTTGGTGGTCGCCATCACACGCACATCGACACGCTGCGAGACGCTTGAACCGACGCGTTCAAAGGCCCGCTCTTGCAAGACGCGGAGGAGTTTGGCTTGTAGGCCGAGGTTGATTTCGGTGACTTCGTCCAGCAGTAAGGAGCCGTTGTTGGCCAGTTCGAAGCGGCCGACGCGATCGGCATCGGCGCCGGTAAACGCGCCGCGGCAGTGACCGAAGAGCTCGCTTTCGGTGAGTTGTTCGGAAAGGACCGGGCAGTTAAGGCTGACCATCGGCCCCTTGCTGCGGCAGCTGAGGGCGTGCAACGTTTGGGCGATCAGCTCCTTGCCGACACCGCTCTCACCTTGGATGAGCACCGTCTCCTCGGTCGAGGCGACGCGAGCGATCCGCTCGCGCAGCAAACGCATGGCGGCGCTTGACCCGATCATCATCGGTGCGTCGCACTTGGCGGCTGACTCCACGGCTTCGACGCTGGTTTGCAGCCGCTTACGCTGCAGCGCACGAGAGACTGAGGCTTCGAGGCGATCGACGTTGTAAGGTTTCTCGAGGTAGTCGAACGCGCCGTGTCGCATCGCTTCGACAGCGGTCTCGACGCTGGCGTGCGCCGTCACCATCAGCACTTGAACGCGGTGCCGAAGGCGTTCGATCTCGCGGATTAGTTCGAGCCCGCTCATGCCGGGCATCTGCAGGTCGGTGACGACAACGTCGAATGACCCTGCCCGCAACTTTGCAAGCGCCTCGGCGCCACTTCCGCAAGGCGTGGCTTCGTGGCCGACGCAGCGCAGCACATCGGCGACCGACTCGCGGGCAGGGGCGTGGTCGTCCACTACCAGGACGCGGCCATAGAGTAGCTCAGGCTTTTTGGCGTGAACGGTCACGCGGCAACCTCCCGCGCCACCGGACGGGGGATGCGGAGCGTAAACGCGGCGCCACCTTCGGGGCAGTTCTCGGCGATCACCGAACCGCCGTGGGCCTCGGCGACGTGCGCGACCACCGACAGCCCCAGGCCAGTGCCGGTCTCCTTGGTGCTGTAGAACGGCTCAAAAAGGCGCCCTTCGTCATCATCACGGA